AGCCTACAGCAGGTTGCTCAGGACTGTGTCCAGCTGTGATTTGAATACACACAGATGGAGATTCCACAACCTCTGGGCAACCTGTTGCAGTGTTCAGCCACCTGTGTAGTGCAAAAACCTTCTCCTAATACTTAAAATGGCAATTCCTGTTTTGTCCCTTCATGCCCATTGCTTCATGTCCTCACTTGGCACCATTGGGAGCAGTCTGGCTCCATCTTTACTGTATTTATACACATTTGGAAAATCCCCCTGAGCTTTTCTTCCCCAGGCCAAACCATCCCATTTCTTTAAGCCCTTCCTTGTGTGACAGACACTCAAATTCCTGACCTGTTTTTGTGGTCCTTCATTGCACTGTCTCCATAATGTCCATGTCTCTCTGTCAGGATGGTAACAAAGCCCAGGAGCCTGGTGGTTGCAAGGACATTTTGCTGGCTAGTGGTTGGCTTATTGTCCACCAAGACATCCAGGTTCTCTGGAAAGCTGATTTCCAGTCAGTCTGTCCAGTAAAGCAGTGTTTTTTGTCAAAGGTGCAAGCAATCTAAATCTAATCTTTTATTTACTTTAATAATTAAGTAATATTTGAAAGTATTTTAAGTCTTGCAGAAGCATTATTACACCAGCACCAGAGAACAAAATGAACTCTGAATCCTTACTGAACTTCTTTAGATTCTTAACTTTTCTAATACATTTTATAGATTCTTTCAGATTTGTATAGGTTTGAATTTTGATGGGCCAAGTTATTTTGCAGAAATGCCACCTGGAAAGGGCTTCAGCTCGTAGATGTCGATGCCTTCAAGCCTAAGATGGGGATCAGAATGTGAAGGTTAAAGAATAATAAGATTTCATGGTATCTACAAAGGACAACATGGAGTCACAGTGTGAATAATGTGAATAATTACAGCTTGGTTCCTTGTAACATGAACTTGTTAGCTCTGTTGGCCATCAGCCAACACTAATAAGAGAAAGTGTTGTTTATTTTTTTTAATTATTTTTTATTATCAAACTGCTGATGTTGAAGATATTATTTGCATTGAAACCATTTTCCTTATGAGATGACTCTACTATCACTTTATTAACCAATTTGCAGTTAATTGATTTAAATATTTTTTAATGACTTTTGACTGTCTCATTAGTGGAAATGATTTAATTTCTGAGTACTCAAAGCTCATAGTGAAACGTGACTTAGAACTTTGATTGTGCTACTGGAAGTCATAACACTGACTTTGTTTCTGATATAATCAGTAAATGTGGGAATGTGTCAGGAGTCACATTGAGAGGAAATGGCTTCTAGGCAGATTCAACTTGCCTAAATCTCAGCTATTCCCACCACAGTAAAGAAAACCATCTCAGCAATAATACATCTTGTGTTGTAGTCTGGGTACAACAGCAGCATCTCAGCAGAGCCACTCAGTATCACCAGGGCTGCTTTGCTTTGCTCCTCCCCCAGTCTTGGAATAGTCCTTGACATTACTGAGAAATCACAGGGATTTCTCTGAAGTGCAAGCCCTGGGAGAACAATAGTCTTTCCTCTTGGAAGCTCTAAGGGATGCTGGCACAGAGCCTTGCATACAAAGAAATTTGACCATGCTTGACTTTACACCATTAGCTTTTTACACCACAAGATCTAATGAAATACAGTAGAATTAAGTACTAGAATCATGGAATGGTTTTGGTTTGGAAAGATCTTGAAGATCATCTAGTTCCAGCTTCCCTGCCATGATCAAGAGCTCCTTCCACTAGACCAGGTTGCTCTGTCCAAAATTTCTGATTTATATGCAATCTAAATCTGCCTTCCTGTAGTTGACTGTAGCTTGTTTCTGGCCCATGGTAGCACACACTACCTGTCTATTTAATACCAAGAGGATTAAAGCTGCTCATTTAAACTGAGATGTGTAATTGCAGCATTACTCACCAGTCTGGTTTGAATTTAGAACAGCCCAAATAAGCATCGTGGTGTTGGTATCTGAGCTTTCTTTGTATCGTAAAACAACTGGCAGCTCTTGTAAAATAGTTGTTTAACAGCAGCTGTGTTTTACAAAGTTTTGGCCTGGGGCAGAGTTTTACAGTCACATTACAAGCTTAAACCCAGGGGCTGGTTTTAATGGGAATGTTAATAGGTCCATAACCAGAGATATGGCATGTGTTTCTATACCTGGAGCTATCAGATTTATTGCTGCTTTGGTGCTTCATAAAGTAAACATTGGGCTTTTTAAAAGAAGTTGTAAGGAACCAGTGATGATCAAATTCTGAAGGAAAACTGCTGTTCTAATTTTGTGGAGGGGGTTGTTTTACTTAGAAAAACCTCTGTGAAATATAACCTTGTGAAAACTGACCCCATACCCAGTACTGTCAGTCTGATGTCTAATTCCACGTTTTGATGAATATGGAAACATTATAATAGTGTTTTGCCTGTCCATTGAAATGACACCTTGTAAAGCACTTCAGTGTGTAGGTACTGGAGTCTTGCATTGCTTTCCTGTTTGCTGCTCCCAAGGGGTGGAGATTGTCCATATTTAAGCCTATGGCTAGACATCTAAATGCTTGGTTTGGTGTTTCCCCAATAGCTTTCCTCCCTTGATAGCTGTTCTTCAGCCACATAAAACCTGATGAATATGTGTATTAAGTGGCTGGAGTGTGGTGAATTAATAAAGTAAAGCAGGCATTCTTTTGGTTCTCTGTGAAGAAATGACTCATTTTTGCTTTGTGTTGTAGCAATTCTCACTGCTGTCTGCTTATGTAAACTTTAAATAAAGCTCAGCAGTTTCACCAGTGGCCTTGAGGTAGGGTGGGTTGTTCTGAAGGATGCAGAGAATCCTGCACAAGGTCAGTGGCCTTTGTCTGAGCCTGAAAACTGCAATTTCACTCTAAACAGTTGGATAATTTCATTCCAAACAGTTGGAAGTTGGGCTTCATCTGCCTGAATTTGTCCTGGTGAAACTCCCTACCCTGAGGACCTTTGGGGTTTAGCAATGGCTATTTTACCCTACAGGAAAGGAGTCCTGCAGTTTGGAGCTTGTACAGTCTTGTCTTGGTGTTAGTGTGCCAGAGGGGAGATTTTGGTGCCTGTTTCAGCTTTAAAGTCAATGTTTGTGTAAAAACAGCTCATGGACTCCTTTGGTGAGGAGAAGACAAAGAGTTGCTGAGGGGCTGCTGTCATTTTCAGATCTGTGTCTGTTCATGAGAAGTGAAGAGGAGGAGAGACTTTAATGTGAGTCTAAGGTTGGCTTAATTCCTTTGCATTGATGGCCAGAAAAGAGGAACAATGAAGCTGTAGTGGTTTCTTGAGTTTTCACAGAGATGGGAAGCTCTGGCAGGTGGGAGAAGTCCCTCAAGGGTCAGACACTGGGGGAGTTGGGAGAAGCTTCTCCTTGGCTTCTCTTACCATCTTCCCCGAGGGCAGGACATTAGAGGCCTTTTGTCTGTCCAGTGTAAGTTCCTACCTTTCCCTTGGATGAATGCAATTCAACCATTTATTCAAGAAGTAAAGACATCCTGCCCAGATGGGCTGTTGTTTCTTCTCTATCTGGTGCGTCTGAATTTCATTGATGCTTAAGACTTCCAGTCAGGTTTTAGCCTCACAAATGTTATCTGCAATCTGAAGATTTCAAGCACTGATATTGCTGGTGCTAATTCCTGTTAGCTGAGCTCATGGTGTGTTTTGACCGTGGCTGGTGTTGTCACAGCTGCTGCTGGAGGGGAGATGCTCTCCCTCACCCTGATCCTGGCTGCTTCTCTTCTCTTCTCTTCCTGTTCAGCAGCTCCAGGCATGGAACTAAGCCAGTTCTGAAAACCAAATCACCTGGGTTTTGGTTTTGATTTTTTTTTTCCCCCTGATAGTTTTCTGAGCCAGTTTTTGGGCAGGTCACAGAGCACCATGGCAGGTGACAGGGTGATGATGGCTGAAGCTCTGAGGGGCAGCCAGGCATTACAGGAGCTCAGCTGGAAGCAGGGGGGTCTCTCTTGTGCTTCTCAGTGAGGTGAACCAGGGCTCAGACATTCCGTTTACTACCAGCAAGGCGTTCAGAGCACTTTGCCAAAAAGATCAAGTTTAGTTTATTTTTAACTTCACATTTTCAAAACTGCCTCCCTGTGAGGAGGAGGAGGTAGGGAAAGCTCTGTGCACTTGTCCAAGGCCTGGAGCAGAGCCCTGCAGTCCTTTGCTCTCTGCAGCCAGCAGACTGGAATGATGCTCTGGGCTGGCAGGCACGGAGGAGGTGCTCTTTGCTCTTTTTCTCTTGGACTGCATTGATTTCTCAGACACCATCTGCTTGTGGCTGACTAATTAGGAGCAGTAGCCAAGAGGCAATTTTCTTCTTTCTCCTTTGACATGCAGACTCATACCACTGTGCTTTTTGCCATCAGATTTTGAAATCAGGCTGGTGGAAGATAAAACTTAGCCACTTGTTCAGGAATTGCTGAGAGGGGGATAGCTGTGATCTAAATGGTTCCTCACTAAATAATGAACTTAGATCTGGATGGTTTTGTGTGCCACTGGTTCCCAAACTGGCACAAAAGGAGTGAAGATTTCATTGTTTTGGCCTTGAAACAGTAGAGCCTGGTGTTGGTGTGTGGCTTCTTAGTGGAGAGCTTCCATTTCTGTGCTGGGGTTTCCTTATCCCTCTTTAGAAGCTTGTTGTAGGACCAGACTTGGCAGATTCTAGGGATGAAAACTGTTTGAACTGAAAGCTGGTATTTGGTATTGAAGACTTTGTCAGGGACCTGGGTTAAGTCACTGAGAAACAAATGGAAGAGGTTTTGCTAAAGATACCACTTCTGTAAATAATTGTGGTGTTCAAGTTCAGATCACTTGCTCCAAGGGGCTTTCAGTTTCTCTGGTGGTCGTCTGGGTAGGTTTTTATGTTTGGAGATACATAAATATTTTAGTTGCTTTCCAAAAAGGAAGTGAATTTTCATGATTTTCTGGTAAATGCTTTGTATGAAGAAGTATAGGATTCATGCATAGCTAAAATTAATTCCTTTCTTTTTTCCCCTTTCCCTAGAATATGACAGATACCTAGCATCTAGCAAAACCATGGCAGCAGCTTACCTTGACCCAAACTTGAATCACACCCCAAGTTCAGGTGCAAAGACTCACCTCAGTACTGGCATGGAACGTTCCCCAGGGGCCATGGAACGAGTCCTGAAGGTTTTCCACTACTTTGAAATCAACAGTGAGCCGACCACGTGGGCCAGCAATATCCGGCATGGAGACGCCACTGATGTCCGAGTGAGTCCCTTTTCAGCATTCCTATGCCATCCTTAGGTGAAGTGTTATCTTCAAAAATGGGAGGTAAAAATGGGAAGCAAACAAACACAAAAGTTTCTTGGTTTGTTTTAAAATAATCTTGAGCTGTTGTATATTTTGAGTAAATTCAGGAATTTTAAGTGGTACCAACCTGTGTGGTACCACATTGAGGCAGGAATGAGGGCAGGGATGAAAGTGACATTAAATGACATTTTGCATGATTTAAAAGAAATAATAAGAAATGAATGTGTATAATTGTAAGATGTGTGTATTTGCATGCTTAAAATGTTTAAATATAATGTGTACATCACTTAGGGAAAGAAATACTGTTTGGACACTTATTCTCCTGTAGTGGGGGAAAATGGAGCTCTGAGGAGTCCCTGTTTTTCCCCCCAGACAGTCTGTCCATCCTCTCCCCCTGCTAGTCACCTGCTGCTTGTATTTTTACAATATTGTCCTTCAGTTTATCTATGGAAAAACCCCCAAAGTTGTGACTTTTTCAAGAATAAGTATCTGTAATCTTAAGAGTTCTGTGGAAATGTTATTATATGCATGAGAGCACTTTATTGTGAACTTTCATCTTCTCTAATGCTGAGATCTTACCTTTTCTGCATTTATCCTTTAAATTTTTGAGGTTTTGTGGTATCTAAACTGTAACTAAGCCTAGTTTAGCATGTCAAATGCTTTTGTGGTTTGCTTGTTTTTTAGTCATCCTCCAAGAGCAGAATCTTGCAGGGGTGGTAGGTGGTGTGTGGGGTTGTTTTCTGCTGTGAGGTACTTGCTGTGGAAGCAGGTCCCCATCTGCTCCTTCCTTCCAACAGTTCTTCAAATTCCACTGCAAAGATTCTGCTGGAGAGAGGGAGTTGTCATGGAGTGAAGGAGACTTATTTTCTCCTCCTGTCCTCTATTAATTTTCCTTTGTGCAAAAGAAAATGAAATTAATAAAAAAACATGAAGAGTTTTGAATGTTTATCTCCCTTTCCCGCTGTTTATTTCCTAGCATGGCTGCATGTGCAAAGGCCCAAGAGCATTCCTTGAACACAGACCTGTGAAATCCAGGGATTTTCATTGGTGATGCTGTCTCTTGTCAATTCAATAAGCTCCTGTCTGTGTTTGGGGATAATGTAGTGAGTGGACAGATCAGAGGTTCAGCAATAGGAACCATTATCATCAGCTGCATACTTTTTTTCATGTGGAGTTAAGTTTTTTTGGGTGCCACTTGAAATGTTTTTGCTCCCTGACTTAAATATTAATGGTTTGCTATCTCTAATCTGATTGATTTGTTTCATAAAGTGCATTACTAGGTACAAGAGGAGGAAAACTATGTCTCAGTACGTTTTTAACCTTGCAAACCTCTCCTGTGGATAAATGTCCAGGGCTCTTAATGTGGTACTTGAAATGGAGGCTGTCTTTCCAGAGAAGTATGTAAAACCCTGGAAAACAAAAGCAGATATTAAATCTGGTTTTTTTCCAGCTCAGGAATACCTGTGGTTATGGACTTTAAGGATACAAAACTTGGAGTTGCTAAAAAATTTAGTGCTGAGTTCAGTTGGCAGTTATATATTGTTTTTAAAAGCAAGAATATGCCATTTTTAATAAAAACAGGATCAAAAGAACAGGCATGTAGCAGTTACTTGATGCTTGCCTTATTTTTTATTTTTTACATATACTTTTAATTGGATGGATGTTTCCAAAAAGAATGGGATTTTTGTATTGTTCTGATGGGTGGCTGTTAAACTTCCTTCTTTTAGCAAATGTCCTTCTTTTCTTATTTTGTTCAACTGGGACAGTGACTGTTGAATGTGAATGTGCAGGTAGTAAAGGTCTAGCACTGATGTATTACCATGACATTTATTTTAGAAACAGTAAACCCTTGTTGGAGTACAAGCCTACATTCCATTGGAATGACTGCTGGTCGACCAAGCTGAATAATTTAAGATTAAAATAGCCTGTAAGGTTTTTATGCCTCCTTTTGTGGAGGAGACTCTGCCATTTCTTCTGAATTACAGCCTCAGGGAGGAGACTGGAGCTGGGTTTGTTTCCAAGGAGCTCTGAAGGAATATTCAAAGGTGAATGTCTTTGGGACAGCTCTGCAATTAAAAGGAAAAGAAATAAGGTCTTCCAAGGCTGCTCCCTGGTCAGCACAGCTGCTGGGGAACATTTCCAGTATTTGGGGTACATTTCCATTGTTAGGAGTCAGACTTGGTCAGAAATCTCCAGATGAGCCAATTAAAGGTGTTTCTGCTGCTAAAGCCAGAGGACTTTATGGAATGTACCCAGGAAAAGTTGGAATTTTCTTTCCTGATTTGTGGTTCCTAACATCTTCTGTTTCTAACAAAGTGCAGTTTGCCTTTGTGAATGAAGGATGTGTTTGACAGTCAAAGCAGCAATAAAAAGGTCTTATCCTCCCAAAAAAAAAAGGACATAAACAAAGATAGAATATCTTAGAGTATAGAGTAGAAACAGTGATTTAGCTGTATATTTTCTACAAAATTCCTTGGTCATGAAGGGAAACACTTTTCATTAAAACTCAGGTGGTTAAGCTCATATGAACAGAAATCAACTTTCTGTAGGAGTCCTTTAAAAGGCTGGGCTGTGATTTCCTTGCTGTTTGTTTAAAATATCTTTCACCAAGACAGCAGTATGGCTGCTGCACGTAGGCTTTGCTTTGAGCAGGACTTTGGCCTGTGGACCTCTGCTTATTCTGGATGGATTTAGTCCCTCAAAGACTGCTGTTTCCTCAGAGGGATGAAGGCTGTGCTCTGCAGTGGATGCAAGAGCAGCTTCTCAATTCTGGGAACTGCTTTCTTGGATTTCAAAGAACTGGCATGCTCTCATTACCCTCTTTTTCTTTGGTGTTATACTAAAGACATGCTTCATTTCCAAAAGAAAGAAAAGGCTTTTATGAATGTGCAAACAGTGGTCTCCTCCTGTGAATGTGTATGCAGACACAGCCAAACATTTGCCAGGGGAAGAAAAGTTGTTTATCTTCCTTGTTTATCTTGGTATGGCTTGTTTGGATGTGGTGTCTGGGTGCTTGTGCACAAAGGGATTTCCAGGCTTCAGGCTTGGAGGGAATGCAGGGCATTCTCTGCCCTGCTCACAGCCTCAGGTGTGGCATGTGAGGAGGTGGGTGTTGCTGAGATGGAATTTTTTGGTCTCAAGTGCACCCTGAAAGTCAGCACTGCCACTGGATCTTGATCAGCACTTAGGAGAAAATCACCTCCGTTTTCAGATGTGGTTGAAGCAGAATTGTAACCATAATTAAGGAAAAAGGAAAAAAAAAAAAAGACTGCAATGCATGTAGCAGATTGAATGGGTGGAGAAGGTCTGGGATTTTTAGAAAATGGGAATTGGGAAAACTTGTGTGGGTCCTTACAGGTGACTTTTGATGAGGTGCAGATCTTCTGTACAGTCTCCTTTTCCACCTCAGAGGTGCCCAGCTTGCATCAATTACACCTTTTTTAAAACTCCTAGCCTTTAAAGCTTGTCTGTGATTTTTACTACTAGTTGTGAGAAGTAAAGACATTATTTATGTGGAAATAACAAACACAAATCTCAAACCAGGTTGTTGCCAGACATGTGTTGTACCTTAATTATCAGAAAGGTTTTTTTTCTTTAAATTTTGTTATACTGTCTAAAACCTAAGCTGGATAGACATAGAATTAAAACTTTTAACCTGTCAGATTAGTCCTTATTTTTGTAGTTGAAGAGAAGCATGGTTAGAGCTCTTGAACAAATAAAAGTAATGTTTGGGGTTCTCTTGACCTGTTCACAATTCAAATGTCCTTTTCTTCCTTTTCTATGCAGTACCACCTTGAAATGTCAGCTTCCTTAATGTTGACAGAATAAGAACTCAAAAAGCTGAATTTAAAAAGTACATTAGCTAAGGGGAAGGATATTATCTAACTTTAAAAAACCCTAAATGCAAGGAACATTGGCTACATCCCATCCCCTCCCATTTGCAAAAAGACCAGAGCAAATTCATCAGCTTCCCTGCCCACCTGCAAAACCCTGCTCCTCCCAGGTAGAAGGCACATGTGCAGGTTGGAAGGTTGTGTATTCTGGTGTGTTCTTTAAGCTGAGTGCTTTAGGGGAAGGGCTGAAGCACTTTCAGTTGGGTCTTCACTAAGCCATTAATTCAGCTCTTACTGTGTTCCTGTGTGTTGCATCTTCTTTCCTGTTTGCCTCTCCCATTCAATCCATGCTGCACTTTCACCTATTGGTGCAAGAGAGCAGAATGTTTGAGTGGAGATCCAGTTTGTGGTGGGGGAATGGAAAGATCCTGTAGTGCAAAGGTCTGCAATTCAAATGTCATCCTGGTTAAGACACGAGTTTCATTGGCAGCTGGGCCAGCTCCTTCTTGCTGTTTGTTTTGTCATGCTGCCACCCTAGCTGTGCTGGCACAGGTGGTGTGACTGTTTTGGCAAATTCAATCCAAGTTTAAATGAATGATTGTTTTGCTGTTGTTTTAAATCCAGATCAGTTCTGTAATCTTGTTAGCTGCATTGTCTTGCAGACTGACACAGCTGAGAAGGCTGGGGGGAGAAAGGAAATGCCTGTTTATGCTGGCACCGAGGGGACAGAGTATTAAAGCCTTATTGATGAACATCCCTTGTCATCCTCAGCAGCATTCCTGGTTTCCAAACATTTCCCAAGAAGGATATTGCCTGTTCTGAAAAAGGGCAAGAGGCTTGTCAGTCCAACCTCAGTTCCAGATGTGATTCCACCCACTCACCTCCAAGTCTCCCTCTCTTTCAAACCCGTGTTATTTAGAGCCAGTATCTGGACAAAAGGTGCCAGGCATCTACTGTAGCTACTCTGGAGCAGATCTGGGCTCCGCAATACTGATCCTGAACTCACTGCTACCCAACTGGGGAATGGCCAGATGTGCTTTATCGCTGTTCAGTTCCTCCCAAGCCAGAAGCTTGAAGAGTGGGCATGGGGTGGAGCTGCTCTGGTGTTTCTACTGCAGTCTGTAG